TTGTTCATGAACTTGAGACTCGAGCTGCGGACGTTCCAGAAGGTGGCAGCGTAGAAGAACAATGGACGGCCATCAAGAATGCCCTTATAGAAACAAGCGAGAACAACTTGGGTGAGCTGCGCACCCAGAGGAAAGAGTGGATCACAGATGAAACCTGGCGGAAGATTGAGGAGCGTAGAGAAGCAAAAGCCGCAATAGAGCGGGCGAGAACCAGAGGAGCCAAGAACGAAGCCCGTCAACGGTACTCGGCTCTAGAGAAGGAAGTCAAGCGCTCTTGCAGACGGGACAAGCGAGCGTGGGTGAACTCCCTGGCCGACGAAGGAGAGAAAGCCGCAAACACTGGCGATATACGCCTCCTCTACGATATCTCACGACGCCTGTGTGGAGCAAGGATGAACCCGAGGATGCCAGTGAAGGACACGACTGGACAATTGCTTACCGACCCCACTGACCAGCTGAAACGCTGGTTTGAGCACTTCGAACAACTTCTTCAAGTTTCGACGGCCAACCAGCCTTCAACATCTCGGCATGATCCGCCTAGGGTGCGGCGCATCACTGGCGTCAATTCCGAGGCCCCATCACTGCAGGAGATTGAAGCAGCTATCCGAAGCATGAAATCCAACAAGGCTCCAGGGGTCGATCGCATATCAGCAGAGATGCTCAAAGCTGACCCCATGCTATCCGCACAAATGTTGCATCAACTATTCTCTAATATCTGGGACACCGCGACTTTTCCGGCCGACTGGATGCAGGGCATCTTAGTGAAGGTCCCAAAGAAGGGGGATCTGACTGTGTGCGACAATTGGTGAGGCATCATGTTACTGTGTATTGTTCTCAAAGTTCTGTGCAAAGTTATCCTGAATCGGATACAGGAGAAGATCGACGCGACTCTCCGACGGCAGCAGGCAGGATTCCGTGCCGGAAGATCTTGTGTGGACCATATTGTCACGCTCCGCATCATCCTGGAGCAGGTCAATGAATTCCAAGAGTCCCTTTATTTGGTATTCATTGACTACGAAAAAGCGAGAATCTGTGGGGCGCCCTGAGACGCAAGGGAGTCCTGGATAAAATCGTCAACCTCATCGAAGCGCAGTATGAGGCTTTCACGTGCAGAGTTCTGCATAACGGAGCCTTGTCCGACCCTATCCGGGTAGTCACTGGTGTGAGACAAGGATGTATACTATCACCGCTACTGTTTCTCATCGTAATCGACGAGATCATGGTAGGTGCAATTGACCGTGTACCGAACCGTGGGCTGCTTTGGCAGCCTATCACCATGGAGCATCTCAACGACTTCGATTTGGCTGATGATGTTGCTCTACTAGCACAACGGCGCTCTGATATGCAGAGTATGCTCAATGACCTAGCCGAACGCTCCTCTGCGGCGGGTCTCACCATCAACGTCAACAAGACCAAATCGTTGGATATCAACACGGGCAACCCTTCCAACTTAACGGTAGCGAGGCAAGCAGTGGAGAAGGTCTAAAGTTTCCAATATCTTGGCAGCCAAATAGCGTCGAACGGCGGGACCAAGAGCGACATAGGTGCACGAATCAAGAAGGCTAGGGCTGCCTTTGCGAGTTTACGAAACGTATGGAGATCCAACCAGATAAGTCAACGCACCAAAATCCGAATTTTCAACTCGAACGTGAAATCTGTGTTGTTATACGCCGGCGAGACGTGGTGTGTATCAGCGGAGAACACTCAAAAGCTGCAGGTCTTCATCAACCGATGCCTGCGGTATATAATTCGTGCCTGGTGGCCTCACAACTGGATCTCGAATGCCGAGCTCCATCGTCGATGTCATCAGAAGCCGATAACAACAGAAATTCGAGAGCGAAAGTGGAGGTGGGTCGGCCACACACTTCGACGGGGCGGAAACGAAATCTGCAAGCAAGCGCTGGATTGGAATCCAGCAGGACATCGCAGCAGAGGCAGACCCAGGGGCTCATGGTGGCGGAGCCACAATAAGGAAATTAAGCAAGTCGATAGAAATCTGACCTGGGCCCAGGTCAAGGCAAAAGCGAGCAGCCGCCCAGGATGGAAGTCTTTCACGTTGGCCCTTGCAAGTACCCATTTAATGAGTATGAGTATGGAATCCATACTAAGTTGTCAAAAAATGGGTATTTTTAAAAATTGAAAAATGGTTAAACTTTTTATTCACTATAAAAAATGTCTTCTTGCAATAAAAATGGGTAAACACATTCATTATTATTTCGGTGACATCTCGAAAAAAAAAAACACGGTTCAAAACGATACGCGAAGGAAGCTTGAACGGAAGTTTGACTGTGCTAGCAGATTCCATCTGGCCGGTGTTAAGTCAGGTGAAAGATTTTTTCATGCAAATAGTGCTCCGGACAGACATCTCTTTATTGCAGCAGCACGACGAAAAACAGCAAACCGAGGTGATTTTCACGAGGTAAGAGCTAGAAGTGGGATGTGTTCCATTCTCAGTTCCGTTTCAGGTTAGCGGAATAAAAGTACAGGAGATTGACGTTAGCTTCTATTAGTGGAGACTGGCGAGTGAATGTCCAGTACTGAGTTTCAACAAATTTTGCAGGATGGCCGTGGAACCAGTGGAAGTCCATCGAATATCAGGATGGTTCGGTAATGGAAGACAGTGACTACACACTACTAAAAAGTCATGTAAATTTCGGTTCCATGAGACCGACACATGTAAGCGGGCCTTTTGACATAAGAATCAGAAAGAAAACGTGAAAATCAATTCAATCAAACGTTCTCTTCGGTTTGAGAACACAATTTTACATGAAATGTATGTTTACGTTCTATGATTTACGTCTCGTGTAAAAGTAGTTATTTCTAAGTGTGTAGAATTGAAATTTGAACAGCCGGAACCGAGGCCAGAACAGCCTTTCCTCGCTTAAAGGGTCACAGGTGACAACCTTTAACACATATTTGAGTGTTAAACATAAAACTATATAAACGATTCTTATTTGTTTTTCTTTTGACTACTCTTAATATTCCCATAAAGCAATTTTGTTGATAAAATGAGTACCGTACCTTCATGAGAACATGAAGGTTACAAAGTACCTATTTTTTTAAGTATGCGTCAAATACTCATTAATGAGTAATATTGGGTTTACTCATTTAATGAGATAAGCCACTTTTCTTCAAAATGAGTATTTTTTACCCATTAATGGGTACTTTCAAGTTAGCGTGAAGACACGGATCGCAAATGCGTCTACTATTGTTGGTTTGCCTAACGTGGACCCTACACTATTGCTTTTATTAACAATAATTTTATTGTCAATATATTCTATATTGTCGTCAATACATCGGTATTGACAATATTTCTGTGTTCACATCAATATTATTGTCAATAATTCCCCTTCGCGTAAATATATTGATACGTGTGGGGTTCACTCTAAGCCGTAGCTCAGCGAATGGCGAGAAATGTAGAAGAAGCGCAAAATCGAATTATTTAGCATCAGTCGTGGGAGATATAATCCCGTGCACGAGAAGAGAGCCGCTCTCATGCAGCACTACTTCAGGAACAGCGAGAGCAATATATAACGAATTGTGCTTCGCTGTAAGGATCAGCAACCTTGATATTCTACAAAGACGTAGTCCTAAGTCAAAAGGAGGGACTTCGGATGTAAATCTAATTTCATATAAAGAGGTACCAGACATGTTTTGCAGTGTCAGGTGCTCAATTTTGATGACTGTGAAAGGGATTTCTTTGTTTTTTTTACAGCACTGTTCTCTGTGAGTAACTAACGGAAAACACATTATGCGTAATTTCCAACAGATATCACCGCACAGAACAGCGGTGACATCTGATAAAAATTAATGCAGAAGATTGACTAAATGGATAATCGAGAAAAAAAATATACCAACAGTGAACGTTTGGTAAAAATGTAATGGTAGAACTTAAGCCGGTCGTGAAAAGTGATGATAAAAAAGAGTCGAGTATTAGTACAAGACACCGAAGAAGTCTGCACATTGTAGATGAAATACGCGTATCTGTCAAGGATAAGACAATAAGCTAGTTGAATTAAATGGAAATTACTAATCCTTCTCTCTCTCTCTCTCTTTATACAGGTATTCCACTAAGACACCCACATCATGAGGATAAAAAATTAATTCATCCTAGTGAAAATGTTAGATCTGCTTCCGATTATTCTTAGTTAATCTTTCGCAAAGACCTTCGAACTTAACCAACATTTTAATTTAGCGCAAAATTCACCAGATAGCTCCTTCAACAACTTAGTCAAACTTTGTCAACAAACTCTTTACCCGCCAGGCACTTCAGTGTGCCAAGGATCGGCGATAAAAACATAATAATTTTCCATTAAAGAAGGAACACCTAATTATGAATAAAACATTAACCTGTGTGTTTGCGCGTTCTCCCATCTTTCTCTTCCCTTAAAATAAAATTCCATCCCTTTCGCTCCGCCCCTTACCCAAGAGTTTGGTTGGAAAACAAAGTTCGCTTCATTTTTGCCCTCACCGCCAATGGCCGTGCGTTTGTTGGATAAAATGTATGAATCACGTCCATTGTACATTATCACTCACGGGACCGTGATCCATTACGGTCTACAGGCACCCGTTTCACCCCAAGCATCCCCATGTAGTGTGTTTGTGTGTGCCTCGTTCCCATCTGACCCCATTATGTTTCGGTACGGGTGAAAAGTGTTCCCATTTTCCAAAAGAAACGCCTTGATGTGCTCGTTGAATGAAATATTCAGTTATTGCAGCTTCCGGGAAATTGTGTACTACTAATACTAGGTGTTCCTGGGCTGCGCTCGGTTCGGTTCCGCATTCCCAAGAAAGAGAAGCTCACATAAATGCTCGGTACTCGCTAGCAACAGCAAGGCCACTAAATTATGCACGAAATTTGTTCTGAAAGCAAAAGTTCTTACCAAAAAAAAAATCGACATGAACCACCCCGATCTGCAACAACGATAAAAAAAAGCCGAACCAGAAAATTAAATTAACTTTCCTTCCGCAGCTGCTGCTGCTGGTGGTGGTGGACTTACCTCTCCTCTGCTTCCGGAACCCTCGAGGCCTTCGTCGTCGATGTAGATGTCATTATTCGGACTGGAGCCTCCCGCGCCAAACGATGACGACGACGACGACGATGCCGACAGAGACTGGCTGTTGCGGTTATTTGATTTCTGCAATTAAAATCAAACAGAGAAAGAGGACATGAGATGGTGGGTTGGGTGGCAGGGATGCTTAAAAGGTGATTTTTTTTCCGTGAGAATATGAAATATACGCCGGGAGGTAAAGGCACTTAAAAAGGGTTATGACGTAGTAAAATATTTTATTAATATATTAAGTGCACAATATTCGCCAACTTTTAAAACATGAAACGATAAAGTCACCAACACGTATTCGAATGACACAAGGGATGACGCGGTAGGCGAATATCGGCCCTAGGATGAAACATAGCCGTTCCACCCTATACTCGTTGCTAGGCAGGATGGCAACGGGGGCCGGTCGATGTGCACGATGAGCAGGCGGGGATTCTTTTCATAAATCACGCTGAACCCACCGAGAACAAACAATCGAGTGCGAGTTCTGCCAACTGCACGGCGCTCTTGGTGGGATGTAGAATGGAGAATGCCAGCGCGTTCAGCAAATCGTTTGAGGCACTTCCTTTTGAATCTGTGTCACCTTTGGGGCTTTCGCTATGTGCGGTACCTCGTCAGGCGGAAAAGTATGAAAAGCGTTGGGTTTTCCATCCACTCACCCTTGTCCTAGAAAACTCCCGTACCTTCACTGTACGCAGGTAACATGCGAGTAATGGAACTAATTAGAGTCGGCAAAACGTCGGATAAAGAATGCCGGGGGGAAAAAATAACGCCTGAGTGTGAATCCATGTCGGCGTTGAGATTTTTTAGAAACAATTTCATTTGACTTGCTTTCAAACAAACTGCTTGTGTAGATTGATCAAGATTAGATTAACTTATACTGACAGCTTCTTTTAAACGAGTGATATGTTTTGCTAATGCCTTACTTGGAAGTTGTATTTAACGAAAAGTCGCTATCATTGAAATCTTGTTCATTCAAATGACCTGCCTGCCCCCCGACTACGTAGTAGTTAAGGTGCGATAAGAATCTGCATGGAGTAGCTATGTTGTGGCTATGGAACTGCACGCTAACTTTGAAGTGGTCATTATCGAGTTAAATTTCACTTATTTTGAAAAAAATGTGTTCAACTCAATAATGAGTAAAATTTGTATTAAGCCATTAAGGTGAAAGTGACCAGTAAATGAAGATTTCAAAAAAGGTTATCTCTGAAACATCACTTCAAATTGGTAAAATCTCTCGTCGTTTTGTGTGATGTCTCAGAGATTAGCATTTTTAAAATTTTCATTTACTCACTAGTTTACTTTCACGTTAATGAGTAAATTTTACCAATTATATACAACTTTAATGAGTTAAGCCACTTTGGTTTAAAATGGGTGAAATTTTACTCATTTATGGGAGTAGCAAGATAGCGTGTGGTTCCTGTGCTTCATCACGTCTGCCATAGCAGTTCTATTGACGATTGACTACACCGAAAATAGTTTTCATGTAGCATTCATTGGAAACTCACATGATTTTCATCCATAATTAAAATTAATGGAATTCATCTGAATTTCACATAACATTTATGCAATCAAATTAATTTTATATGATTTTTCATATGAATTTCATCGGCCTCATAATATTCATGTGATTTTGTGGTAGGATTTTCAGCTATGTGATCACAGGAAAGCTATGTGAAATTCATATGGATTTCATCCATTAGATATGTGATAAATTTTTTGAGTGTATAATTCCCAAAAAGTGAACTCATCGACTAATGGGAATAGTTCCGTGGAATTTCAATTTGATAGATTGGATCGATGAATCATCACATTAGGTTTTAAATTTTGTATCATCTGCTCCGATTTTTAGTATTGTAAGGTTACTAGGCCTAGCCCCTAAAAGCAAATATAGTACATTAACAATATAGTCCACTCTTCACTTTTCAACTGTGTTGACAAAATCATCAATCAAATGATATTTTCCACTCTCATACGATCTCTTTATCAAAATACAAAAATCAAGCTGAGAGTTGACTCGACACAAAAATGATTCCGTTGCACATCGATTTCTTAGAAAGAGAAAGTAGAGTTTGCTATTTCTTTTCACTCTTCACCGATGGCAGACACGAAGTGATTGCTGCCAGCCGTTATGGAAGTTTCGGTTGCGTACGAGCAGCGTTGCCAGGTCATTTTCAGATAAATCTGGACCAGTTAAAATATAAAATCTGGAATGCTCCAAAAATCCTGGGTTTGTTCGACTTACGTTCAATCAAGATCATTTCTTTGTGCAATCTTGGTAAATTATTCTTAGCGTGCAAAGTTATGAATGCACAGGGAGAAAAAAATAGTTCACTCGTTTACCGCCTTTCTCAGTCAAGCGCCACATTTTTGTTGGCAGTTTCTTTTTCGAAGTGGCAAATCTATGTTTTAATTATCTAAGATCTAAGCCACAGACACGTTGGTTCATGTCAAATCTATTCTAGACATGTTATTTTTTTATCAAGATAAAAACATTCTATGGTTTTGATTTTTGAGCAAAAGTTAAGTTTGAGTTTAATGTTGGTTTTCCGTGGTTTCATTTTAGTTGGACCCAACTAAATCTGTACAGTGCCACCCAGAAACGCGCTCATCCACTTGGAGCATCAATTTGTTCAAAACCAACTGCTACAAAATAGCTCTGCTCCAAGATATAAATGGATTTTTACCGACCCTCTGGATCCCACTTCAACTCAGAGACGTGCCAACCCAGAGTTGAATTTTGACTGATCATCTAGGTTCAATTTCGTCACACTTAATTTTTACAGTGTAAATTCACTGGATTTTGATAAATCTAACAGTAATACATTTCATACAATATAGAGGAGAAGACTATGCTCTTTGTTTAAGTAATTATCTGAACAACAAAAAATCCACATAAATCAATTAAAATAAGTCATTTGAGCAGCCACAAGCTCACAATTCTATTGAATACTAAGGTAATTTCAGGGTGGCAAGTGAATTTCCATTTGAAAATTCCTGGTTTTTCCTGGTTTTCCTGGTCAATGATTTAAAAATTTCCTGGTTTTCAAAACCATGTATTTAAAAAACAATTCTCAATAAACAAAAAAATTAAGTGAACCCTTGTACCAAAATTCTTTGTGCAATGCGGAATTTCAGAAACCAAAAAAGGTATTAAGGTTCTTGTGAATGTCCGTGAAATCTTTATCTGATTGTTTGTTGTAACGAAGCTAGTAGGGAGCCGCGCTACGTTGTCGTATCATGGCGCCTATTTCCGTTCAATGTGCTAAAACTATAATAGCAAAGCGTTTTCACTGATGTTTTTGCAAAAACATCTTTGCTCACAAGATTAATTACGATTGACACTGAAAAATTTGCGATAACCCGTAAAATGAGCGATTTTAGGGGTGTATGACGATGAAAAGCTGAGATACGACGGAATAGCGAGGAGCCCTATTTAATGTCTGAAATTTAGAGATTTAGAGATCTAGCCCCTAAATCTTGAGATTTCTGTTTTTGAAACTGCGATTTTTTTAACTTTATTATTGAGATTTTTAGCCAAAGGGCTAGTTTATCTCAAGGTGAAATTGCGAAGTGTGATATGAATAAGGACTCTTTAAAAAAAAACTAACAATTTTACGGATTTCCAGTTTGTTTAAATTTTCCGCAAATTGTCAACGATTAAGGATCTTATTTAGCGGAATTTTGACTACAACTTGATTTCAAAATCATATGATTAAAAGATTTCATAAACAACGCTGGCTTCATAACTCTTATTATTAAAAAGACTGACTGCTGAAGTTCAAAGAAACTCCCTAAAGTTCACAGAACTTCCCTGAAGCGTTAAGGTTTTTTCTGAAGGGTTCATTGAAGTTTGTAAAGCCTGAATTTCATGGGACTTCCCCAAAGTTCGAAGAACTTTTTTTAAGATCTTAGGACTTCCCTGAAGTGCGGAGTTTTTTTTTAATTCATAGGAATTTCTCAAATATCGTAGAAGTACCACGAAGTTCGTAGAAATTCTCCGAAGTTCGTAAGACTTCCTTCAAGTTTGAAGAACTTTCTCGAAGATCTGAGGACTTCCCTGAAGTTTGAAGGACTTAACTGAATATATGAGGACCCTAAATTTAGAAGAGCTTCCCTGAAGTTCATAAGGCTTTAAATATCGAAAAGTTTTCCAAAAGTTTGTGGGTCTTTCCTTAATTTCTTGGAAATTCCCTGAAGTTTGGAGAGCTCCCATGAATTTCGTAGGACTACCTGTAGTTCAATCGACTTCTCGGAAGTTCTAGGAACATTTTTGAGCTTGGAGAACTATGATAAGTTCAGAGGACTTCCCAAGAGTATTGAAGACTTCTCTGAAGCTCGGAAAAATCCATTAGTGTCATAGGATTATTCTTAAGTTTAAGCAATGCCTAAATGTCGTAGAAGTTACATTAAATCTGTAGAAAATTCTGTAAAATTCGTAGTTATTCCCCAAAGATTAAAGGACTTCCCTGAAGTTCGTAAGACTTCTCTGAAATTTGTAGAACTTTTCTGAAGGTTCGGAGAGATTTCCTGACCATCGTAGGTCATCACAGTAGTTCACATGATTTTCCTGAAACTTGTAAGACTTTCCCCAATTTTGTAGAACTTGCATGAAGCTCGAAGGCCTTATCTGAAGTTTTTAGAAATAGAACTTTTTCATGGAACATGTTGAGCAGGTACTTCAAAGTAGTTACGCGTCGGCACTGCTTATGTCTGCTATCAATTAAGCACAAATCATACATGCAATTCATTCGAGAAAAAAATTAAATTAAAAATGAAAACAAAATACATTTACTAAATTCTCAGGGTAAATTTTGTTCATCAATGTTTAGTTGTGTGAAAGATTTAGCTGAACAAAATGGTTAGTTTTGACCTGATTATAAAAAGAAACTTTGACATACATAAAATTTAAAACCAATTTAAATTATACAAACAAGATTATTTTCCTGGTGGACTTATGAAATTCCTGGTTTTTTTTCCGGTTTTTTTCTGGTGAAAATAAATTCCCGACTTTTTCCCGGTTTTCCTGGTTTTCCTGGTTCACTTGCCACCCTGTAATTTACAAACATCCTCAAACTATA